GGACAACAGATCTACAGCAAGTGAACGTCTATTTACGAGTACAAGTGTAATAAAGGAGACTCCTGGCAAATACTCTTGATCAAATGCTCTGTTTATTAGTGGAATTTAATCCTGTGTTAGTCTTTTGTAAATATTTTCTATAGTCTCTTTTGTGGTTTGAGCCCCATCATAAAATATTGATTTAAAAATATTTGAAAAATAATAAATAATAATAATAAACTATTATTTTGGAAACAATAAATGACAGAACTCAAAATATTTTCCTTTATTAATCAATAAATGAACTTTGAATATTAAAACTTATTCTTTTTTACCGCCTAAACTAAGTGTAACAATTTAACACAAACTAGCTGAATACTAAAGCTACTGAGAACAACAATGTATGTACTGCCATCTGTCGGTGCCGAACGTTACAAAATATTTGGGGTCCTTGAAGACCCCGGAAGACTAAAGCACGGTGAAACTACTTGTAAGTAATTTTGCTTGGTTGCTTTTACTGTAGTTACTGGAAGAATCGGTTGTTTTGGGAGAAAGAAATACCAGACAGTTGGTGAAGATTTGTGGGACTCCAGAAAGGCTTCCAAGACCTATTGTTACAACAACAAATACAGCAATAGTCCGATTTTATAGTGACAATTCACTTTCTCATGATGGATTTCGACTGGAGTGGGTAGTGAGAGGTAAAGTTTCAGTGATTTATTTTTTTACTGTGGTTCCCAATTAGATTGTGTGGAAGTATAAACTTGAAGCGTAATATATATATATATTCAAGGTTTTGTTTATGGACAATGAGAAATTATTGTGTAGAATGTTTTAAAACACAAAATAAAGCTAAATTTTTTAAGGTCGTGAAACGTATAATGCAAACATTTGCTTTGTGAGAGGCAGAAATTACGGTCAAATTTCATGAATTTTCTCAAAAGAAATTTCATGACTTAATATAATAGCCATGAATAATTTATTTTAAATCTGTTCATATTAAATTAAATGTTGAAAGGTAGTTAAACAATATTTATGTGACAGCCTATGGTTTTATGTATATCTTGAATATTAAAACTGGTATTATTTTTAGTTGCATATGTCTTTACTTTATGTTAGTTAAGGTTATGGTATTTTAAAAATCTTGCTTAATATCTAATCTCAACTTTAATCATAAAGACAGTTATTTTTGGAGGGTGAAGTCACTGTGATATATTTAATGCTGTTTCAGTTTTTTATTTAAGTTTCAATTACGGGTGAGACATTTCTTATAATTTCAAAACTTGAAGCTTTTTGAATGATGGTTAAAAGTATTAATTTAATATTCTCTAGCAGTTTATTCCATTTTGTTTATCAGGTGCTTTATTTGGAACTGCTAAGATGTTGTGTATTCTTTGTTTATTTTTCCAGTTTTAGTTTCACATGACCATTTAGAATCTGAAACGGCCCGGCCTGGCCAGGTGGTTAGGGCGCTCGACTCGCAATCTGCGGGTCACAGGTTCGAATCCCCTTCCCACCAAATATGCTCACTCTTTCAGCCATGGGGGCATTATAATGTGACAATCAAACCCACTATTCATTGGTAAAAGAGTAGCCCAAGAGTTGGTGGTAGCTGGTGATGATTAGCTGCCTTCCCTCTAGTATTTTACTGCTAAATTAGGGAAGGCTAGTGCAGATAGCCTTCGTGTAGTTTTGCGCAAAATTCAAAACCAAAACAAAACAAAAAAGAATCTGAAACTTTACATCCATTTGCTTCTCCAATAATTGTTGGTGTTTGAGTTCTTGTTTTTAAGATGTGGAAATACTGTGATAGGATAAAATAGTTTTAGTGTGTGTAGGATCACGGATCCTTTGGTGATCTAACATGTTCTTCAAATATGAAATGTACACTTGTTTTATGTAACCATTTTTCATAATTACACTATTTTTGAGTCAGTCTAATAAGCTTTTAAATTCTTAAGTTTGAATTATTTTACGTTGGGTATTGAAATTAAAAGAGTGGCAGAATACGTTTACTGCATTTCTTCCCTTACTCTGTATTATACGTAATGTGTCAGTTTGAGATTAAGTGCTATAAACTCGCAGTGATATCAAATACATAGATTTGAAGATTTAGTTAACAATCGAGGGTAAAATATAACATTTAAGTTTTAGAGTTGATTGTTTTTTAAGATTAAGTTATACTTTATTTGTATTAGTGGCAGATAAATAATACAGAAGTTAGAGAAAATGGTTATTTCTGGTCTTTTGCTGTGCTAAAATTCATTTCATTTTATTAGAATTTAAATTTTAAAGTAATTATCTATTTATGTTTTGGCATAGTTCACTTTTTTTTTCTAATAAAAACAGTTTTACCTAATTTAATTGGGGGAGAGAGGCTGTTTAATTATTATTTTAAACTTGCTAGCATTGGTCAAAGAGAACATATTTTCAAAACTTCGAAGTGATTATTTTAATTGCTGTATTAGGAGACATAATTTATCGGGCCATTTTTGTTTGCTCCACGAATTTAAAGAACTTGAAATCTTTTGCTTGAGCCACTAGGAAAATTGATGTTTGAAAACAACTTCTTTGTTACTATAGTGTTTGTTCACTCTAGTAAGGTATACTTTTTTAAATGTACAGAAAACAATGTACAAACAATATAAACTTTCAATAACTTCAGTTTTATTTATACATTACCTTTTGTAGAAAGTATTTTGTTTTAAATAACTTGTGTACTAGTGGAGCATATTTTTTTTCTAATTTTGTATGTTTCTATGTTTCTAAGTTAGATGGTTAGGTCACTCAACTCGCATACTGTGGGCCATTGGTTCGAATCCCCATCCCACCAAAAATGTTCGCTCTTTCAGCCATGGGGGTGTTATAATGTGATGGTCAATCCCACTGTTTTTTGTTAAAAGAGTAGCCAAAGAATTAGCAGTAGGTGATGTTAACTAACTGCCTTCTCTTTAGTCTTATGACTGCTAAATTAGGGACAGCTACTCAGATAGTCCTCATGTAGCTTTGCATGAAATTCAAAACAAGCTAATCCAATATATAAATTAGAAACAAAGTTACAGGTTAGTTTACAACCTCCTTGTTAGTTGCAGGTTACAAAGTATTTGTGGTCTCTTTCTTTCTTTTCTTTAGGTTGTGGAGGTGAACTTCGCAAGGACTATGGACGTATAACTTCTCCAAATTATCCTAGCTCTTATCCCGTTAATACTGAATGCAAATGGTACATCACAGTATCTCCAGGCAGTGCCATCAGGCTAACCATTAATGAATATGATCTTGAAGCTTCGAGCAGATGTTATTACGATTATTTACGGGTTTGTTTTTTAGAATAGTTTTACCATTATTACTGACTCTGCATTAATTCTGAGGGCTTTTCACACATAAAACCAGGATTTGATACACAGATAGGCTATTGTGTAACTGTATGTTTATCAGGAAAACAAAGTCTATTATTCACTCAAGTTTTTTGTTGGTTGTACATGATAAAACTGTTGTTTTATTACAATTTACAGCTTTTACAATAAGTAAGATTAGTTTTTAGACAGGTAAGACGTTTCGATCACTAATGTGATCATTCTCAAGTACACAAGTTTTTTTTTTGTACTTGAGAATGATCACACCAGTGATCGAAATGTTGTACCTGTCTAAAAACTAATCTTACTTACTGTAAAAGCTGTAAATTGTAATAAAATATACTTAATCAGTAAGTAAACTTAATACAAAACTGTTGTTTATTTTGTTCGCAACGTTTACCTACCTATTGTAGAAAGTATTTTGTTCTAAGTAGTTTATATATTATGGGGACACATTCTTTTTCTAATTTTCTATATGTCTATAAATTAGAAGTAAAATTATAGGTTTATATGAATTGGTAATAATTTACTATTTCTGTTAGTTTGGGATCCTAGTTATACACAAACACAGACAAACACATGATGAGGGCAGGTAAACCCAGTGAAATATTGTGAAACGAAATAAAAATTTTACTACGTACAATCGATAAAAAAATAACCTGAGTGAATTTAAAAAAAAATGTAAGTCTTTCTGTTATTTAATAAAATCTGTTGTTGCTCTTTTATGCTCATGTATTGTGAGAAAGCAAATCAGAGACTATAGTTCAGGGTGTTTTTAGATTTTCCATAAAGAAACTGAATATTTATGAAAACTCATAGGAACATCATTTTAATGTTAACACAGGCAAACACTGAATGAAATTTGAGGCTTGTAGTAGATTTGTGAACATCTGCATTGATAAAATAATAACTTCATTTTGACTTGGCAGAAAATATATTAAGTGAAATATTTTTATTGTTTAAAGTTAAATACTACATTTGTTATTTAAACATGAAATAATATATTATAATATACAAACTACAAGCAGCCTGTATATATATATATATATATATATATATA